ATTACTGATTTTATCTAAGCACATCAGAAATCTACTGTCAAAAGTACACAAAGTACATTAGACATCAGAACATATAAAGATCATTACACCAAAAACAAGGAGGTTGGAAGGAAAAGTTATTATTATTTGCTATTCTAGGCCTGCAAAAGCAGATGACCTGCTAACCTGTCAGAGAACAGAAAAAAAACATAAGCCAAAATCTATGTGGGCTTCCTAACGCCTCAGCAATTGTTGTAAAAATGAGAACTTGATTTGTTTTCCTCTTCATTGATCATGACACACTGAATTAAATCAACAGTGTCCTCAGATACCCTATTTCTCTAGTCCTTGTTAGCTTGGCATAAACTTTTGGTATTGCAGTTAACACATGTCCTCAGTCTGCATTAAACATACCTTGTCATTTAGCTTTGCACATCTACAAAATTTTCCTCTTCAGTTTCTTTTACTGTCAAATCACACAAATTAATAAATTTTCCTGATCTAATACAGTGTTAGGCCTATCACTTCATGCCAAACCAATTAAACAGGTCATCACTTCAACATCTTGATGCAGGAGGAAACAGACTGACTTCAGTGACTAGGTCAGGGCTATGTGGAAGAGGGAGAGCAGTAACTGAATTCTGAATTCTGCATGTACTAGAATGGATATAATTTTTCACTGTAGATTTCAAAAATAAGGGTATTTAAGTCCTAAGAATGTTACATATTGTTGTTATTGGTACTACAATATTTCCAAATTGTGTTGTAAATAAAGCATCAGACTTGGGCAATTCTGCTAATTTGATCACAGTCCATCTCAGATTGGTAATTTCACTCTTTCATCTGTACCAAGAAGCATTGCTCTAACTAAATATGCATACATAAATACAAATATATGACTATAAAATATATCAGAGTAGTAGTATACCTTACAAGATCCTTAGTGCCTCTAGTAATCAAATGATTCCCATATGTTCCATACTTTTTAAGCACCCAATTTAAGATTCTTGGATTGGATTTACATAAGTGTTTATTGCTCAGCATTGTAAATGAAATCAGAAGAATCTAATACTTTCAATGTGGCTCTACAATATTTTGCCATATATTAAAAAGGTACTTTTGAAAGCTCTAAATGATGACTATCCCATAATGATCAAAGGAGGAAAAAATCTCATGAGAAAATTAGCTTCCCTGATGGCCAGCTATAGGGAAGAAGGTGCTACACTGGTACATTATCAAAAAGGAGAAAACCCAATATAACAGAATAACACATCAAATGACCATAATACATTCCTTGTACTCCATTAAGTGAAGCAGAGATTTTACCAGAAAAAAAAAGTGCTTGTGTAATTGAAAATGGTGTCCATTAGTAAGAAATGTTGAGAATTAAAATTCAAGTTTTGGGTGTTATTACTAAATATCTTTTTTGCATATTACATATATATATTAGCACAGGTTTTAGAGCATTATAAATCCTCACCATCTCCTCCATTTCTGAGTTTTCCTATCAAATATTCATTTAAGTAATTAATTTTATAATAGAGAGACTTTCATATTCTACAGCAAAAATTTCCAAATTCTTTTTCTAGTAATGCTGATACCATCAGAGACAAAGATCTGAACTCTAACATTTGATTTCCTTTGCCCCTGAGGAAATTATGTGACACGAATGGGAGTTAATACAATGCAAAATCCCACTTCACCAAATCCAAACCTAAAACACCCTGAGAGATGCAAACAGTCCAACTGCAAGGACAGAAAGGGAAAGACAAAACAAAAAAACCAGAGTACCTGAAGTGTTCTTGCTGAGCAAACACTGGCTGACTGCCAGCAGAAATGCCAGCAAAACAAAGCCTTTCCAAAAGCTTTAAAATACCTTTTGGCTTTAAAAAACTCAGTATTCAAGTTAAATTCTATACCTCTCTGCTAGATTTGTATCTCACAAAGGGAACATTATCTATGAAAAATCCGTAAAGGCCAAGAAAATATCTGGCTTAAAGGACTATATGTTTTCCTAACCATACAACCAATTATTGTAAATATAGACAGGAAAATACAGGTTGAGAATCTTCAGATACTGTTACTAATGATCTACTGCAAGGGATGCTTTATTGCAGGCTGTCATGCTTAGATGGCCAGATGGCATCAATGGCAAAAACGTCATCTCTCATTTCTACTTGCCTAGAATCCCTGTCCCATATGAGACATGATTATAACAATTCATCAGTTGGGACTCATGCACTTTTATTTCAATTACTGCAGCTGAAATTGATTGCAAAATGCAGAATCTTGGTTTACACAGATTGATTACAGGAGAGGATCACTGTTTTGCTTTTCTGGTTTTGTGCCTCCATGGTTTCAACAGCAAGTTTTACTCCTAATTTTCTAAGGAACTACTGGCTAAAACTCTGAGGCATGATAAAGATGTTTGGTCTATGAGTCATTATGGAAGTATACTAGTCTAAAGCAATGCAGATCAGAAAGCTGACAATAAATCACACAAGGAGCAGCAGATAATAGCCTTTCTGAGCCAAGGAGAAATTAGGGAGCATCATTAGGAAACTCTGTGAAACTTCTTCAGAAAAGACCTTCTTTGGAACGAAATCCTAGTGTTAAAAAAAGTAGGAGCGGCATCAAAGAGCCATATTCTATTTTGTCTGTAGTGGATTGGCTCAAACATGGCTTAAAGTGAGGTGCAAAAACAGTTGCTACTTACTCTTACATTATTTTTACAAGTGTTCCTATTTTTGAAGACAATCTTCAAACAGAAGAAACAGCTTCAGGAGAAGGATTTTAGAATTTCTTGCACTCTGCAGCCTGAAGCAACTAATGTGCAAGACAGAAGGGAACTACGGACTAGAAGAACAGGCTAGGCTATGTCAATAGAGGAAACAGCACGGCATCCTCATGGCATCCTCACTTCCTTTATCATCACATTATCTGCGAATGCTCTGGCTCACAACTGGCTTATATTTTAGAAAAACTAACTTGTTTCGGCTGAGCATACATTGGCTTGAATAAGTCTTCAAGTCAGCAATCACAATGAATAAGTTTAAAACTTTATTTTGAGTCCAAACCCCAGTATCAGGTTCAGTCACTTCATTAACAAAAGTTTTAAAATTCAGACTAGATTAGGTTATTACATGTTACAGTATATGAGGGCAATAAGGTACCCCTCTTGCCTAAGCTCTAGCAGTATCAGGAACATGAAGAACTTCCAAACTCTGAAGTTAGCAGTTAGTTAGACTCTGAATACACTAGAAAAGTAGATAAGCATTATCATAATCGTTATCATCGTTCTATTTCCTCTATCATTTTAGAGGGCTGAGATACCACGACTGTTTCTCCGTTTTCAGTACTAAAGAATTATTTTTCAGAGAAAAATAATTTTTCACAACTATTGTTCAGAAACCAACCACAAAATATTTCCTAACACCATGACATGGTCAGAAGAAACATCTAGATGTTTTCCTAAGGAGTCGTCTTAAATATGCTCCTGATTCCAGACTGGCAGTCCACAACTCCTTTTCTTGCCAGTGGCCTAAAAGACTGCCTATGCTGTAAACATTATATTCAGATCTCTCCCCTATGTTCATTCAACAGAAAAAAATCAATTTTTAAAGGTGCAGCTTTCAGAAAGGATCTTTCCAAGAGTATGTGGCCCATAAGGAAAGAGTATTGTTTCCACCAAAAAAAACTAATGTGGGTAGGCTGAAAGAAAGGTCTGAGCACATACATAGAGTTTACAACCTTTTTAAATGAATGTAGCTCTTAAGGAGCAAAGAGAATATAATAGTTCAGTGTTCTCTAAAAGTTAATACTTCAATTCAGTGTAATCCAAGCCTTCCTTTCACTTGCTAGCATGATTTTCATCCAGATCTTTAAAAAGCTGGTAGAATATGTACCCTTTGTAAATGTGAATGGAAGACGTTAGAAAGCAGAACCCATAATACAGCAGAATGGAAAGATGTGCCAGTCAGCATCGTGCTGACCTACTTTTATTGCAGCAATCTCATTTCTGAAGACATGTCAGAATTTATTTTTTTTTTAGAAAAGTGGCACAATGAGGTGTCACCAAAAATGCTGCTTATCAATAAAGATGTTACTTGATGATTGCAAATACTTGTCTGTATGACTGACAATCTTAGTCAAGGAGCTCCCACATTAATGTGCAGTATCACATTCCTAAAGAACAAGTACTGTTATGGTTCTACAAAAGAAATACGTTGGACTGAGCAAGATGCCCATCTACACTAAACAAGTAAAAAGTGCTGGTCAATGGATTCTGGAGAGACTCGTGTTTTCAGATGTCCAGTGAGAGAGTTGCTTTGGCTGCTTCCTTTTACTATAAGCTCATTTAACAACTTTTTTTTGTGTAGTACCTATAAAAATGTTCTCTATATTGCTGCATTATCTGACATGATAAAAAACTATATTTTTCACAACCATTGTCCTTTAAGCATAGCATCATTACTTTTCCTTATAAATAACGCACAGTTACATTCTGTCCTTGAACATTCTGTTCCTACACAGAACAGTACCATGCAACTAATCTATTTATCTTACTTTACTTAAAAAAATTTCATGTTGACCTTTAAGTTGGAAAAAACGGATCATGAGATGACCCAGACATTATTTACCAAACAAACTCAGGGAAACATTAGATGAAGCAAAGAGAAATAATATACTTTCAGGAGGATTCTGAAACTAGAGACTAAGTTGAATATTTCTTTTGGTGTGTTTTTTTTTAGGGAATGAGGGTTAAAAAATTAAAATGACCTTAAAACTGAAAGTATTTTCTGGCTCATTTACTGACAATGAGTCAATATCATTGTATTGATGATACGGACTGCAAAACAAACTTTAGTTCATTAGCAAGTGAGACAAAAAAATATAAAAGTAACCTTGAATAAATTGCAAGGCAGCATATTACTAAGCATGTATTTTTACACTAAACTGTGAAGCTAACTGTTTAGAATAGCAATGTTTAGAAAGCACAATGAAAAATGAACAATACTTACAACCATACCGTTTAGGGACACCCAGCAATCTGGTGGGAAATCCTGAAGTAATGGTACTAAAAACTGTAGACAACCATCCCAGTGGCACAGCAGGAGCATCATTCCAATGAGATTAAAGATTCTCACCACTGCACTGGCCAGATCATATGTCATGTGGAAAATCTGCAAAAAATACAGGTGATGTACATGTTACAAATCATAAATGAAAATAAGTTCATTCTTACCAGGCAGGTTAAAGAAAAAGAAGTATCATTCCGAACTTCTAAAAAAACGGAGGTTTTTCAGCAAAGACCATTAATTTGAGCATGGTAATTTTGGCAGAGAACTATGCTGACACACCTGACTCTTGGCTGCAAGCCAGCATTATGTAAGCTGCTGAAAAAGGCATATATTAGACAGAAGTCACCTGCTAAAGTGTTTTCTTAAAGCCTACAGTTCCTTTCAACTGAAGCAAGACTTAACTCACAAATCAAAACACCTTGGTAAAGCTAGTGAAACCATTACTTGCCTATGAACTTGGCATTTAAATATTCACAAAGTTGTGGGAGATTCAATGACCCCTTCAGAAGATTCACTATTACATTTATTACCTTCTTAGAAGCAAAAAAATCTGAGTTGAAGAAACAATATGAGTAGTGTTACATTTTTGGACTTCCATTTCTATACTATTAATCCAATTTGCACATACCAGTTCACCAAGCAAAAATCACAAAAACATAGTTAATTGCTCTTAATCATTAGCTATTTGGCTAAGATACTGATAATTTTACGGCTACTACATATGTAGTAGCTACGTTTATATTGAACTAATACAGTAACTTAGATTTCAATATATCCCTCCATTCTTATGACAAAAAAATGTTTGCATGTGAAAATGTCTTACAGCAAATCACACATATAATTCTCAAAAACAACACAGACATTTTCAAGTTTGTCATGGGCAAATTTGTGGGCCAGAATTTGCATGAACGGCAGCAGTCAGCTGCTAAGTAGTATGAAAAAATACATTTAGCACTTTTCTGCTATACTGGTTTCAATGTACTTCCAAACTGTAAACACAGACATATTCTTTGCTTATCACACAATTCAGTTTACTCAGAATAAATATACAACATTTTTATATGCATAATTATCACTATGCAGGTGTTACATTTAGAAGACAAAGAATGTCCAGTTGGTATTTCATGGAATTTTAAGTTGAAAATACTATTTAATTGTATGGATAGACATAGAAATCAGAGGCTTTAGGACTGAAAACATCAGATTGCAAGAGGTATACAGGCATACTGGCATATGTCATTTTGTATTTGTAAATAAAAGAATTCACACATGAAAGAGAGAATGTTTCTGTCCTAACTTTTACATATCTAAGCTAAAAGCTGAGATTAAGTACCCACATTGTAAATGGGTGCAAGTACAAACATGGAGTGTACATTGTGGTGTCTTTAATTTTCTGTTAGTGGGATTTGGTCCTTGTTTGAAAATGACAGTGTATGTTTTGAGTCCCAAAATGCAAAACCTGTATATTAGAAATATACCTCAGACACTAACGCTGTGGACAAAATCTTTTTTCAGTCTAGGGGACTTTAGGAGAATATATTCCAAATTCCAGTTTGACAATCATTGGAAATAGATTCTCGTAACATAAGTCTTGTCTAGCTGCTGTCAAAGTTGAGCAGATGACACTGATATTTAGGGGATACTACAAAAGGAAAGAAACAGAAACTGCCACCATTATACATTTTTCTTATTGTGAAATGTATTTTTGTTACAGCTATTTCAATAGTTTCAGTTTCAGTAGCTGATATGAACCAAAACAGTGGATGTGTGCACTGAATTTTTTTTATTTTAAAGAGCTGGAAAAATGCCGAGGATTACTACTGGTTTGGAACACCAGCACTCACTCAAGTTGTCTGTATGGTTACTATATTACAAATGCAAAGTGCAGATAATTCCTGATCACATGAAAATTTTCAGAAGTTTTCCCTCAAGCTTCCCATTAGGCTTTACTGTAAGAGACCCAGGGGAAGACCAGGTTCTCAAAACTCTTGGGAAACCAAAAGTCAGCACTCACATATACCCAGGGCTCCTGAATCCTTATCCTGCCTCTGCAACTATGGACTGAGGCATTATGCTGTTGGATTTGGGCTCTGCAAGGACTATTCTGTCATTGTCACTGTTTTCTTCAAAGCTTTTTCAGTAGTACTGTGGTTCTGCAGAAATGGTCACACACTGCAAGAATGCTAACATGTTGAAAATTTTATGTGAAATCAAATCCATCAAAGGAAATTACTGCAATAGTCTGTGTATAACACAGCAACCTTCTATCATTTCTGAAACTGCTGGCTCCAGAAATAGTTCCTGTGGAGCTTAGTGTGCAGTGTTAAAAATGCATGAACATATCTGGGATATTATCTAGATTGCATAACATAGTGATGTTTTATCAGCTTTTCAAACATACTATACTTTTATCACTAGTCTTTTGCTTACATAGTTTAATATTTATGTACTCTATCCTAATACCTGTGATAACTCTGTATTAAAGAAAATATCTTCAAAAGAAAAATCTTGGGCAAACGTTGAAAAACCTTTTAAAAATCTCTGCCTGTTCTCCCACCAGCAAATAATAGTTGATTTTTTCATAAAAGGAACTTCTTACGGCAATATGTGTTTGGTTTGGAAAAAAAAAAAAAATCCCCCAAGCATACTTTGTACAATGTAAACAGTAATATGTGTTCATAGTATTTCATGGACATATTTACATTTGGGGCCTGGGAGGAGTGTTTTTTTTTTTTTTTAATATTAATAGCCAAAATGCTCTGTGGATTGAAGTCATATACTGCTTGTTTAAAGTTCTCCCATTCAGGAATTGATTATGATACATCAAAACAAGAATAGTAAGAGAAGTCATCTTTTATAGTATTTTTTTTGTAATCACAAATTACAATTCCTGTATTAATGAGCTAAACCTCATATTAAAACTCATTAAAACTCCTAGGAGATGTGTGAAGTGTAGCTTGCTAGGAGAGAAACTGGAGGACAGGAAGCCAACGTTACTTGTTTGAGCAAATGGTGGTTTACCCACCAGCTGCTTCTCCAGTGGGACAGGAAGAAATATAAGACCACAAATCAACTTAACCTGATTTTGTAGTACGGATGTGTGGTCAAATATCTCCGTCTCAACAGATTTATTAATAAAATACTATTCATAACAGAAATAACTCAAACACTTGCACATAACTCAAGTTAGGCCCCTAACCCCTTTACTTATGTAGTTAAATGTAAGTGCCTGGCCATCATTAAACACTTGCCATCCAAAAATGCCATGCAATTAATCAGGAATTACAGCTGTAAACACATTTGAATATTTGGCCACTTTATTTAGATTCCTAGTTTCATACCTAAATATTTAGCTTAAGTAGAAGGAGTTATACATTTTGGACAACACATTTCCAAAAAATTACTGAAGTGAGATGAGATTACTGCACCTAAGAAAAAAATAAAATTCTTTTGAAAACTAACCCCTCCCCTACTTTTATTTCACATAATAGGACAGAGTTCAAGATATTTCTCCTTTTTTGTTACTACTCAGTTTCATTTTAATTAGACGTGACACTTTTTGTTATTATCATGTTTATTTTGGGAGGTTTGGGTATAGTACTGTAATTTTTCAAAGTTTCCATGTACTTTAAAATTATGTTTAATAAAAAATTTAGTTTGTGAGCTCACTTCTAAGAACTTATAGTTTCTTCCCGTATTAATTTTCTAACCTTCTCTCAATAGCCTGGAAACTTTAAATTTTTGTCTGAAGAACTGACAATGCTTCTGATAATGGCTGAAATGAAACCACAGATTAAGTTTCTGATATTCTGGCAACGTATTACTCAAAGACTATAAGAAATAGCTGAAGAAGTCAGAGTTCACATGTTTTATTTCAGTTTTCACTCACACTTATATTAATGACTCTTTTCATTCCCATGTGAGAAGCAAAAAGCAGACTATTCCTTCCTCACATTTATAATGGATCGTATGCCTCAAAGCAGCCCTGCTAAATGACTTCTGAGCCTGAGACAGAAAAACTATTCCAGTCTTACCAACCCACTTGTTAAAAGTATTTGGGGGCTGTCATACTAAATCAACAGTGCACGTATCATTTAACTAAATGAACACAGGATCTTTTGAACTCCTGTTGTGGAATGCATAGGTTACCTCTTCTGCCTTCTGATAAGTGGCATGCAATATTTGTTCAGTTGTGATTTTTAATTCTGTTTATAATCACACAATCATTAAGATTTTCAAGTCCAACCTTTGACCAAACACCACCTTATCAACTAGACTATGGCACTAAGTGCCACATCTAGTCATTTCTTGAACACCTCCAGGAATGGTGATTCTACTGCCTTCAATTTTTACGTTCATTTTATATAAAAATTAATTTTTAAAAATTATTAGACTTTATTTCTAATTAAATTAAAAAACCCCAAACTTCAGGCTTCCTGGAAAAATTTATTCAACTCTCACATAATGGAGTTCATGCAGACACCACTTTCACCCTCAGAAGTACTAAAGGTGCTCAGTATCACCAAACTATCCTGGGTTTACTCTTCAGATTAAGATTTACATCATGCCTTGGGTAATATGAAATAGCACTGATACTAAGTGAGCTGTATGTGGAGTCTGGAATATTAAATAGTCACAGTGGGGAGACAGGAAGAGTTGCACATGTGCAGTTGTGGAAAGCATACTGAAAGCTGTACCTAGAGCAACACTGGAACTTGAAACTAGAAGCAGGGCAGAATAACAGTTATATAAAATAACCAGTTATTAAAAAAAAAAAAAAAAAAACAGTTATAAAATAGTATATAAATGACAAGGGTTTTTTTGGTTCAATCTCTGGGTCAGACCAAAATTATTAGGTTTATCCCCTAGAGCACCCACTAAACAGAGATTATAAACCATAGGATCTGATTTTTCCTGTGGGAGCTGAATGTTTACTTTGAAGATAGTGGTTGTAACAAAGCTCATCTGGAAATAAAATAATATAAAAGGGAGAGCACAATGCCTCTTTTTGAGCATCCATCTCTCAATCTTCTTTAAACAATGAAAGGCAATCATGGCTCTTTTGTTCATTCATTTCATATTCAACAAATAGATTTCAAAAA